TTTTCTGATACGTGATGTAGATTGATAGCTCAATATGGGGAACCCTTTTAAGACATTAATTTTGAAAGTAAATTGTCGACCGCAGGTGATCGTACAAGGTGTTTTTTTTGCCAGATTATTGAGCCGCAGATTCACAATGAGCCTCACAATTCAACTTCCTGGCACCCCACCCGCCAAGGAGACCTGTAGTGTTCTACTGCGGACCAATCTCGCAGTCACCATTCAAGAAACTCTACATACTTATACTATTTTTTCTTTTTGAGGGACAGAGTCTCGCTCTGTCGCCCGGCTGTAGAGGAGTGGCCGTGGGCTCAGCCTCGCTCATCAGCAACCTCTGACTCCTGGGCTCAAGCGATCCTCCTGCCTCCCGACGCCTCCTCCCGAGTAGCTGGGGACTAAGGCACGCGCCACCTGCCCGGCTCATTTTTTCTACTATACGTATATTTTTTTAGTTGTCCAGATCATTTCTTTCTATTTTTAGTAGAGACAGGGTCTTGCTCTTGCTTTGACATAATATGTTAAACCCATGTGCATTAAATCACACCTATATAAACCCTCAAGATTGTTGCTCTAACATTGATTTTTCTTTAATTTCAGTCATTTCCTGACCTTTTTTGCTAGGAATCGGGTGTATGCATTTTGATGGGAAACTTACAATTCACTTTACAGCTCCCCAAGACAGTAAGCATCACTAAGCAAAATCGTGGAAGGCTAAGTTTCTCCCACAGATCACAGATACTTGATGATTGTTTGCGCAATTGGATTTTCTTCTTGGACCCTCTCACTATTTCTCTTTTCCCTTGTCAGAACACCTGTTGCACACACACACGTATGGTTTACTTAGTTCTCTTTTGCTATTGTATTCCTCGCCTGATAGAGAAGGCTCGGTGTGAATTAATTCACACTAAAGTGCTAACGTCAGTCAGCGTGCTATTTTTCTTAAAGTCTTCGCATTTAAGAGGATCAGAAGAAGAAGGCAATGCCTGACACGAGGAATTATTCTCTCTTGTTGGAATTACAGAGTTGACATAGAGCTTGAAGGAAGCAAGGATTTCTTGGTATCTCTCAGATTCTACACCCACACTACTTAATCCGCTTACCTACAAGGATAGCTATGCATTTTTATAGCATAAATTTGCCCCACTTAAGAAAACATAGAGGTAGATTTTTGACTTAGTCCTCTCCAGATTTTTCAATTAAGCTCCATTGATGGCGGTTGATACAAATCATACTAACGTCTCCCTTTTCTTAGTGGATAAAATATAGAAAAAAAAAAAACATAGATATCCCATGTATTCAGAAGCTTTCGACAATCCATCTGAAAATTCCCAAAGAAAAATATTTTACAAGTGGAATCTCTCTACTTGCACCCAAACAGTAGCAGATATGCTATGCCAAGTCATCAAATCTGAATCTTGAAATATCCAGTGTAGCAGTTTTCACTGATTAAATTAGTAACACTTTTTTTTTTTTTTTTTTTTTTTTACACTTGACTTTTTTCTGCACGGTAGATAGATGTATATTCTAGTTGATCTAGGCTCGGGGCATTGTCTAATGGAGCTACAATCACACCAAAGTTGATAGCAAATTCACATTTTTTTTTTTTAAAAAGCAGTTAAAACTGATAGTTCTGTTAGCCAAAATATGTGATTGGAATTTTCACGTTTTATCTGAAACCTTTGGTTTTACGTACGTAGCCTTCGTCTTGTACTTTTCTTCCCTAGACTGACAATTATCTGATTG